AGGCGGGTCTCGAACCCGCGGGCTCAGGCAATCCACTCACCTCGGCCTCCCAAAACGCGGAATTACAGGCTGAGCCACCGAGCCTGGCTAGGTTATGTTTTTATAAGACGACTCTGATAGAGAACAGACGTGTAGAAGAGTAAAAGGTGGGGGTGAGGGGACACGTTCTGAGACCAGGCAGGACTCCAAGCATGAGAAAATGATGTCTTCGGGCACAATATGGCGGCAGTGAACACTCGGAAGTGAGTGAATTTAAGACGAATTTCGGGAGTGGACAGGACTTCCATGGATTAGATATGGGGATAAGGGCAGAAGAGGGGCTGTGAATATAGTGGAATGACTCCTGGGTCTCTGGAGGGATTTACAAAGTGGATTAGGGTTTCATTTGTTCGGCCGGAACAAGGGAAGAGAAACAGGTTAGGAGTGTGTTTGTTGTTTGAACTCAGTTCTTTTTCGAGTGGGAGTCTCACTCTGTCACCCAGGCTGGAGCGCAGTGGCACGCTCATGGCCACCGCAGCCTCGACCCGCTGGACTCAGGCGATCCTTCCGCCTCAGCCTTCCAAGTAGCTGGATCTATAGGCACGCGCTATTGCGTCTGGCTAAGTTTTTGATTTATTGTAGAGATGAGGTCTCTCCAAGTTGCCCAGGCTGGTCTTGAATTCGTGGACTCAGGCAATCCTCTCACCTCCGCCTCCCAAAGTGCTGGGATTATAGGAGTGAGTCACCGTGCCTGGCCTTGAGCTCAGTTTTGATTTTTTTATTTTATTTTATTTTTTTGAGTTGGAGTCTCACTCTGTCGCCCAGACTGGAGTGCAGTGGCTGCTCCTGGCTACCACAGCCTCAACCTGCTGGGCTCTGGCGATCCTTCCGCCTCAGCCTTCCGAGTAGCCGGAATTACAGGCGCGTACTACCACACCCGGCTAATTTTTTGATTTATTGTAGAGATGAGGTCTCGCTGCCCAGGCGGGTCTCGAACCCGCGGGCTCAGGCAATCCACTCACCTCAGCCTCCCAAAGGTGCGGGAGTTCAGTTTTTGACCTGCTCAGTCTGAGGTTGCCAGGGACCTCCAGACAGGGATTAGAAGTGGAAGCTGAAGAGAGAAGACTCCAGGCCCTTCTTTAAGCAGGAAGATCTCCTGTAAGAACCACAAAGCCCTCAGGTTTCCAAGGAACATTTTCAGTGGCCTCCTGAGAGACGCTACCTTCCTGGGATGATCCAGATGCCTGTGCCAGGGAGCAGGTAAGACCCTCAACGTTGCCATTTCTGCTCTTCAGAGTTGAACATTGATTTTTTTTATCTGCTCGATATTGGTTGTGAATTCCAAAGACAAGAGGCTTAATGGAGATGTATTTTTGTGCTTACATGTGTGGCAACAACATTTATCGAAAGTGAAGGTGCACAAAATAGGATGTAACTCTAGAAAATGCTGAGCCTCACGTTAATGAGGTTTTGGGCCCAAATTCACCCTGACAAGTAATCTATACCCATACGTCTGGTATTCTGTGGGATGAGGAAGACTGAGGATGGATATAATCTGGCCTGGCAGCATCTGAGACAATACTTCGGGCTTCTTGATTCAAACCGAGAGGTCAGAGCAACTCTTTGAGGATGAGTCCCACAGGAAACATAACAGCAAATACATTCATGGCATCTCTCCCTGGGATCCCAGAGTTCAAGAGTTTCTAGCACAAGCCCAATGCAGGCTCCCCTAACAGCTCTTGATTCTAAATGCAAAAACGTTTTTCATTATTAACGCCACCGGGGCCTGCTGTCCAGCGCTGCATTGTCTAGTTCGATAGCAGTGGCCATCTTTTGCACAAAGGGACAATATTGTTCACTGAGCCATCTCTCAAAGAGCAGGGATCCTTGACCCGAGACCTTACCAGCAAACAGTAAAGAGAATGTCTCTGTCAAGAAAAGAATTGTTCTATTCAAGTGAATTTCCTAGGTAAGTCAAATACATCTAGAAGCAAACCTTTTATCTCCCACTATAACCAATACTTATCAAAATCACGCTGTAAAAATGTTATTCATCTCCTGCTTTATGTGTGTGTGTTTAAGACAAACCCTAAAACTTTATTTGCTTAGACTACAAAATTACTGTTTATATTTTTTCCCCAATAAGCATTTTTTTAGGCTAAGCCTTTTTTAAACA